TTTAGGTAAACCAACATTCACAATGTTCTGGATTATATTTTTTAAAGGGTTAATATTATGTTTTCTAAACATGGCTCAGATTTACCGATTGGACTGGTTTGACTAGGACTTGAGTGCCTTACTAGATGAGATGAGAGTTGGATTAAATATGCATCTGACTCATTCTTGATGTCATCAAACCAATCAAATTTTGCATGAATTAGTTTAAACAAGCTAGTTTATCTTGTTGTTGGCTTAAGATGCATGCACATTTTTGTTGACTCGAGATGCGTGGATATTTCTGTTGGCTCTAGTTAAGGTGGCTTGAAATTGTGTATGTTACTCGAGCTTGATCTTAAAGTCATCAAACCAATAAAGCTAATTATGAATCAATTTGAACATACCAGATTATCTTGTTGTTGGCTTGAGACACGTGCACATTTCTATTGACTTGGGATATGTTCATGTTTTTGTTAGCTCTATTTATGGTGGGTTGAAACTTTGTGTCTTACTCAAAATTCACGCTAACTGTGATTATTGGACCTATGTCTGCTTCTCCAAGTTTGACACTTTTTATATAAGAGACTGTGTTGGTAGAACTTTTCTTAATTGTAAAAGGAAAATATAGTAAAAATGTATCTATCAAGAATTGAACCATGGTCTTAGCAATTTGATAAAGAGTACTTAACCAATGCACTAATTGAGAATTTACTTCATATCACTAGTTGAATTACTAGTTCAAATAGTGATTTGCCAATCCAATACCCCTATTGAGTCAACTACTTCTTAGAATTTTAAAACATTACTTATAACATTTTATTCCTATGAAGACTGTTTTAATATTATTAGTGAAAAATTAATAAATAATCGCGTCTCTCTAAAATTGCAGTCATGGTAAAATCTTTGTTCATTTAATCATTAGGGACTCCCAAGCACAAAAATTCTCTATAATTAGATAATTTTAGAAAAATATGTAATATTATAATAAGAATAAATTAACAAGTTGTCTTATAGTCTTACAATAATATGTAATGTCATCAATATAATGTTATGTCTGCAAATACTTTATATAAACCAATATTAAGAAGTTTTGGATTATATTTTGTACAAAGCTTGGCTATTATGTTTTTAAATCTCAACTCGAACCAGTCACTTGGACTATTCTGACCAAGACTTAAGTTCCTTATCGGATTGAGCTGAGAGTTGGATCAAATATGCATCTAACCTAGTCTCGACATCATGAAACCAGTAAGATTCATTATGGATTAGTTCTGATAGACCATTTTAACTTGTTGTTAGCTTGAGACACATGCACGTTTCTGTTGGCTTGAGAAGTGTGCACATTTTTTTGGCTTTATTGGTAGTGCATTTCAACTGTGTGTGTTACTTGATATTATATGCTAGTTGTGATTAGTGGACTTATATGTGCTTCTCTAAGTTTGACTCATTTTTTCTATAAGGTGTGTTGTTAGCACTCTTATTAATGGTATAAGAAAAATATAGTAAAAAAAATCTATCTATAAATAATTGAACCATGATCTTGGCAAGTTCATAGGGAGTACTTAACTAGTGCACCACTTGAGACTTTACTTGCATATTACTAATTGGCTTACTAGTTCAATTAGGGATCTGTTGACCTTATACCTTTATTGAGTCAACTACCAATTTGAATTTTAAAAAATTATTTACAACATTCTATTCCTATGAAGGTCATTTCAAGATCTTTAGTGAAGACTTAATAAATATGTAATATTATTAGGCCTGAGCACAGGGCAGGTTTATACGGGTTCATGTTGAAAATATTCAACCCAGCCCAAATCGACAAAAAAAAAAAAATCAGTCCATTTTTGACTGCTACAATGATTTGGGTTTGTCAGGTTCGGATTGGTCGGGTCTCGAATTAGGCGAGTCGATTTAATCGGGTTGGGCCGCCAACTGCTTGGTCCTCTTTTGCATGCTGAGAAGGATGTTGTGATCTCTGAATCACTATCCGTCGCCACCCTCATCTTCCCCTCCTCACCAATCCTTAACTCCACCCACATAATCGCAGTGCACCCGTTCACCCGGTTCGATCAACCCGACCCAACTATTCCATCGGTTCCACCGCCTCTACGTAGTGTAGCAGCCGCTTCACCCTCTCCACTAGCTCCTACAGCGAGCAAAACTCCTCCGCCAGGTGTCGCAACTTCAATGAAACCACACGCTCTAAGGTGGCCAGCATGGAGTAGAGTAGGAAAGGGGTTGGACACATTTGTGGCCAACGTGGAGCAGAGCAGGAAAGGGGTTGGACGCATATGAAAGGCTTAAGCCCATTTGAAAGGTGTCGGTCAGATTCAGATACCGACGAGTAAAGATATTTAAATCCGAACTCCATCGTCAAAACCCATTAAAATCCGATTTTCCAAACCCAAAAATCTAGAGACCCAAACCCAGCCCGTCCATAACACATCTTTAATTGGGGGTTACTTCGGTTTCGAGCGACCTCGAAATATTTGCTCACGCCTAAATATTATAATAAGAATGCATGAACAAGTTATCCCTTAGACACTTACTACAATATGTAATGTCACCAATATGAAATTATGTTTGCAAATGCTTTAGGTAAACCAACATTAACAAGTTTTGGATCATATTTTTGTACAAAGGTTGGATATTATGTTTTTAAAACCTATCTCGAACCAATCGGTTGAACCGATCTTCCTAGGACTCAAGTGTCTTACTAGGTTGAGTTGAGATTTGGATCGAATATGCATTTGACATAGTCTTGAGTCATCAAACTATTAAAATTTGGTATGAACTGGATTGAATGGACCAATTTATCTTATTGTTGGCTTGAGGCGCATGTGCATTTTTGTTGACTTGAGATGTGTGCACGTTTTTATTGACTATACTGGTGGTGGCTTGAAACTACGTGTGTTACTCAAGCTCGGTCTTGACATCATCATAAAATTCATTATGAATTGGTCCAAACAAACCAATTTATCTTATTGGCTTGAGATGCAGGTATGTTTTAGTTGGTTCTACTGGTGGTGGATTTAAACACCATGCATTACTTGAGATTCATGTTATCTGTGGTTACTCAACCTACGTCTACTTCCCTAGGTTTGACACACTTATTCTACTAAAATAGTGTAGTGTTTGCACTCCTCTTAATGGTATAAGCAAAATATAGTAAAAAAAAGTATCTATCAAGAATTAAACTGTGATCTTGACAGGTTAATGAGGAGTACTTAACCACTAAACTACTTGAGACTTTAGTTGGTTCTGTTGGTGGTGGCTTGAAACACCTTGCGTTACTTGAGATTCATGTTATTTGTGATTACTTGACCTACATCTACTTCCCCAGGTTTGACACACTCATTCTATTAAAATAGTGTATTGTTTGCACTCCTCTTAATGGTATAAGCAAAATATAGTAAAAAAGAGTATCTATCGAGAAATAAAATGTGATCTTAACAGGTTAACGAGGAGTACTTAACCACTAAATTACTTGAGACTTTACTTACATATTACTAGTTTAATTATTAGTTCAACTTGTGATATGTTGACCCAATACCTTTATTGCCAATACCTTTATTGAGTCAACCACTAATCTAAATTTTAAAACATTATTTATAATGTTCTCTTCCTATGAAGATTGTTTCAATATTAATAGTGAAAATTAATAAATATATAATAATAATAATAATAATAATAATAATACATTAACAAGTTATGCCTTGGAGCTTTACTATAATATGTAATGTCACCAATATAATGCTATATTCACAAATGCTTTAGGTAAACCAACATTAACAAGTTCTTTATTATATTTTGTACAAAGCTTGGATAATAAGTTATCAAAACCTGGCTTGGACCGATTGGTTGGACCAACGTAAACAAGACTCGAGTGCCTTGCTAGGTTGAGTAGAGAGTTGGATTGGATATACATCTGATCCGGTCTTAAAATCATGAAACCAGTAAAATTCTTTATGTACCTGTTATAATAAGTTAGTTTATCTTTTGGCTTGAGACACAACCATGTTTCTATTGCCCCAAGAAGTGTGCACGTTTTTGTTGGCTCTAATGGTAGTGACTCAAAATTGTGTATGTTACTCGAGATTTATGGTAGTTGTGATTACTGGTCCTACATCTGTTTTCCTAGGTTTAACACATTTTGCACTCCTCTTAATGGTATAAGCAAAATATAGTAAAAAAATATCTATTAAAAATTGAACCATGATTTTGACAATTTAATGAGGAGTGAGTGTTTAACCACTACACTACTTGAGACTTTATTTACATATAACTAATTGACTTACTAGTTTGATCAGTGATCCACTGACTTGGTACTCTTATTTGAGTCAACTATCCATCCAAATTTTAAAATATTATTTATGATATTCTATTCCTTTAAAGATCTTTTCAAGATCATTATTGAAAAATTAATAAATAAATAATATAATATTATAATAATAATATTTTATTGATGTCTAAGAAATATAAGAATATATTAGAAATTGTTATTAGAGTATATTATTAAGATTTTATTATTAAAAATATTTTATATTTTCCTTTGTTTTATTTCTTAACCAATGCCTTAAAAAAATACACTTGTTAATATCTTTGCTTAAATTATAGGTCCGAAATTTTACATCGGATCCAAAGACGTATAGTAAGGGCAATTTATATGGCAGTAAAGCTCTGTTCAAGTTTTTGGAATTTTGTGATATAGAGATGGAGTTTTAAATCATTCTTTGCTAATTCAAAATATGATTTACTATTTCGAATATAATTATAAGACGTTCAACTAAATTATACTCTTTAATAAAGTTAAACTTGTTAATAATTTAAACTATCTCCAAAATTACTCTTAATATCTTATAAATTATTTTTTGTTTTACCATTTAATCTTTTTTCTCTAATTAATTAATATTTTAAAAAAATATGTTTATTTATTTTCTCTAATTAATCTCGAACGTTTATTATCACATCTAAAAGAATTGTTAATTTAATAAGAATATTTTAAAGAAGATTACATCTTATAATTAGAAAAAATGTATTATAATAATAGAGAAGTAACAGTTAAAAATGAGGCCGAAGAATATTGACTATTGAGTGACTTGTAAATGAATTTGCAATAAACAAATATTCATTTACAATAAACAAATATTCAATGGCAATAATAATGGTAGCTCTCCTCAGTTTGTCTTACTGAATCCTGCAACCTTGTTCCTCCTGTCGGAGAAATATCAGGCCTCGTCTAATTCTCTGCAAAAAAAAGGGGAAAAAATGTTTTATAAGGTAACATGCAAGCGAAATATTCAAATGTAACTGCGAAAGTACCGATTCATAGAATGTCTTGGGAAAGATTATAATTCCACATTTCAGCTATTTTTATCAAGAAAAATATTGTGTAAAATAAGCAGTATTTTGAAACACAGATTAAATTTGTAATATTACTGTTTTTTTTTTAAGAATAAACTATTTTTATGAAGCTGAAATTTTGAAATTTATGATTATTTTTAAACAACTTTTTAAGCTGATTTACTGTATAGAAATTGATTTTTTTTATTTTATTTAAATGAAATCAAACATCTTAAAATCACTTCCCAACAAACTTATCCAAACAAAATTTTATTTTAATTATAATTGATTATAACAATAGTCGATTATTAAAACTAGCGGAAAGAAACACTCCGTGCCTCTCTTGTTAAAAAAAGTAAATAAAACAAATAAATTGATAATTGTTTAAAAGGTATGCCTCTCTCACTTAAAAGAAAATTTATAAATAAAAAAAAAATAGTAAAGTGCGGTAGTCATTTGAAGGCGTGGATAATTTGGAAAATTTATATAAAAAAAATAGTAATTTATAAAAGAGTTGTTATAAGATTAAAATTAAAACTAAAATATTTACGCGATAAAGGGTCGTCGTCTATATTAGAGATTAGAGATATAGATAATTTAATTTTCACAGTTTTTCCATACACATCCTGAAGCTACAGAGTAAAATGCATTACTATAAGATCAAATTTAACAAGATTTATTCCTATATGTTAAAAATGGATTAGTACCTCGGGGGTATCTCTTATGCGTAGCAGATCCAATCTTTCCGAGGGCCTCCGATTGGAGAGGGTAGTCAGCTGCAATCAAAACTAAATTTTAGTACACAGCAACAAAAATAGAAAAAATTGATGTTCTCATCGATGAAGAAAAAACTGATGTCATGTCACAAATATACATATATGTAGTTACCCAAAAACTAAAGCGCTCAGGGTCTTTTAGTGAGGGCATCATTGCTTCAACACTGGCGAGTCTCTCCAGTTTTCTTTGATCTGTATGATATTTCACAAGTTTAGTATTGCAGCAGTCCATTGTCATTTGTAAAGGTGCGAAGAGGAAAAACAGTAAAATGGGACAACAAAAACTGCACCATCATAAGAATTGACAGATTTCTGTGATGGTGTTAGAAATAATTGCTCAGCATTCCTCCCGCACCCCCAACCAACCCCCCCCCCCCCCCCACACAAACAAA